TATAAAAGAAGGAGAGATTTCGTGACAGCCACACACACAGAGAGAAGGAGGTTCTATCATCTTTAGACAGACACGTTTTGAGCGAGAAAGAGAGAAGGATTTTTGCTAGTTTTGCTTTTGAGATTTCGAGATTTATTCTTCCTTGTGACTGAAGTTTTCTCAAACCTTAAACTCCTTTATTTATTCTATGAATTCTCTCATCTCTTTCGTTATGCCTTGTTCGATTATGTGTGAGTAGTTCTCAAGTTAGGTTAGGGGAATCGATGGGATTAGGGATTCTCAAACTAAGCATAGATAGGTTTTGAAACATATTTGATATCTTCGTCTATTGTTAACCGTAAAGCCTAGACTAGATTGATCACCTAACCTTTGATCCTAGGTTAAATTCACTCATCAAAAGTGTTGTGAATTGCTTGAACAAACATAGATGGGCGATTTGTCCTTAGCCAACGACAGTTGAAGTTAAGGTAACTTGTGAACTAATCAATCCTAATCGATTAATGCTCATCATTCTTTGTAATCTCAAACGACAGTTTAGGGTGTTAGATTGATTGATGAAGTAGTTGATGCCACGACAGTGTGTCCTCTTGAATTTATGATTGAGTTCTAGATTGGTACTTTAATTATAACCGGAATAATTGTTCGGTTCTTGATGATCTAATATCTGTGATAATTCCTTTGACCTAACGCTTTCATTATCATGGATACATCAAATTTAATTAATTTTGCTTTTGAAATTGTGACAACTTAAACCAACTTTAATCACTTAACTAAATTGGTATCTAAAAGAATTAGAGTGTATTGTCGGTCTCTTGAACGAACCTAAACTATTCTACATCGGTTTAGTAATTCTAGGTTTGAGATCCTTTAACTGAGAAAAACCCTTTCATCAAATTGGCGCTGTTGCGACGGGGACCAACTTCGATACCTCTAGTTTTACGATACATTTTTAGACTAAGTAATAACTCGTTCTTTTTGTTTCTCTTGCGTGTGTTTCAGGTGCATGAACTCAAGGTCAACAAAGAGAAATCTTCAAACTCCTCTCGTCACCTTGAGTAACCCGGAACTCGCAAGGTTAGAACGAGTCAACCGAAAAACAAAGCCTAATCTAGTCAACATGGACGAACAAGGCAACAACGATATGGTAGCCAACTTGAAAAGGCTACAAGATCAGATGGCTCAGATGCAGCAGCAACATGCCCATGAACAGCAGCAGCACCGCGTGCGTGAACAGCAGCGTGCCATTGAGGATATGGACAATCCTCATGCCTTTTACCAGAACTGAGATGCTATTGTTCCTCCTGCTGTCGAG